GCTACTCTTTGGCCATGGTAAAAATTCCTGAGCAGTCAATTCTCCATTCTGTAACAACATACAATTATAATACCAACAGGGTACGTTTCAGCATAGTCGCCCCATTCATGTAAATAGTGTAGAAAAAGACAGAGTCATTTTTGGAAAGGTTGTTCCTCTGTAGTATGTCAGTGCAAATAAGTGGGAAAAAATGACATGTGAAATGCATAATAGATAGATAATATTTAAATGATCCACCATAGCTGAAAATATTAGGATTCAGAGAATGTAATTAAAATGCTTTGTTTATCTTGAAGTGCTGTTTCTATTATCGTCAGACTTGCTACTCTTGTGCTGAAGGACTTCTACATCTGTTTATAATGAAGATCAAATCAATTAGAAACATTTACCATTTGATATGAGCCTCTACAAGCAATCTTTCCCTCATCACTGCTTAATTGGCTACAGTCCTGTGACACTCTTTAATTCATTGTTTCTTGAAATGAATATTCAAAACCACAATGGAATTCTTATTTTGTGAGCTAACATCGTCTGCCTCAGTCAATATTTAAAAGACAGGATTATGTAATTCCACAAATACTCTAAAACCAGTATTTGTATTTTTTTTTCATTGTTTCTAGGTCCAGTTAACGATATAATAATAAGGAAGATAAAGTAGTAACAAACTAGAATTTCAGGTGGGTAGCTGCGTCAGCATGCGTAGGCTGCAAAGGAACAAGTAATAGGTTTTTTTTCCATGCTGAAAAACGAAGAAAGAAAACACAAGTTTCGTCCGTGGAGCCTTCTTCAGGTGTTTAAAAATAACTAAGAATTTTAATTTTACACCTGAAGAAGGCTCCACAGCTGAAACGTTGTGTTTTCTTTCTTCTTTTCAGTATAGAATAAACCTATTACTTGTTCCTTTACAAACTAGAATTGACTAGTAAAGCAATTATTAATGTAGCTGGAATTGTTGCTTCAGTTAAGTTCAGCTACTTAAGGTCAAACCTTATTTAAGACTAGGCTGAAGGAATTTAATCAAAAGGATGAGTCTATCTTAGCCCCCTCCCATTTTGATGTAGTACATGCCAGGGAGCTGCCACATGGGCATCGATGGAGTGGAGCGAAGGATGTGAAGTGACAATTCAAAGCCAGGTGTACAACAGTCCTGATGTCACGATTGGAATCCCTCCTCTTGAGGGTGCTCCAGCCCTTTCGTATTTTAGTTTATTATGTGCACCTGCCCTCTGTTTGTCCTTCCTTATTTAAGCCCGGCGCTCTCACTACTCTTGGCTCTGCATTGGAGACGGACGGCCCGGAGGCCCGTCTAGCTTTAAGTCGCCTTACGTCCACGTCTTGAGGGCTTAGGCTTCCGATCGGCATCCTGAACTGCTGAGTCCAGGGCTCGGAGCGCCTGGCTTCGTCAGTTTGTTTTAACCTCCTGTCCTGTTCCGGATTCCGCTACGGATTTTAACTTTGTTCATCTTGTCTTGGATGGGTCACTCGGCTTTGGATTTTGGACTGTGCCTCTGATATTCTACATTGGGCTGTTTTCTGGACTTGTTTGCCTGCATTCCCCCCTTGCACCTGGATTCACCCTCCTGTTCGCCATCCCTTCAATTCCTAACTGTGTGAACAGGAATTGGTGAGGCTGGGGGCTGACCTCTGCTCAAACATTCATTTAAAGTTCCGGAATTGTGAGAGAAACAAAGAGTTCAGAGCAGACTGAGTGGAGGATGTTGTGAATTATCATTGAATGTGAATGTGATGTGAGTGCTTCATATTTTCCAGTTGCAGTTTCAAGTGTTGCGTCTAGTTTTTGATTGCATTAGCCTAAAGGATTGCGCTGTCAACTGTGGTTGATATTCAAAATGAGATCACTCTTGTGCATCTCAGAATAAGAGCTGTGAAAGATAAATTGACCTGAAGTGAATGCAGATTTATGCATTGTATATTTCCAGCTAGCACGCTATATGAACCACAGACTGTGAGAGTCTGTAAAGGAAAATATTTAACAACTATTGAGAAATAAGCAAAACACCTCTGGTTCTTTCAATAAGAACAGCTGAGAGTTCTCTGTCAAAGAACAAAAAGTGTTAATAGGCATTACAAGCTCATTTGATAAACATATCTCTGGGGCCTGATGGTAATCTATAAATTGTACTTTAGGAACTTATAATAAATCTTCCATCTTTCGCTGAAGAAAGGGTTAAAACCCATTAACTGGAAAGGAGTTAATGTGGCTTTTTACATGTCCATTAAGAAGTGACAAAGGCAAACCAAGACATCAGTAAGTCTTATGTCTATTACTGTACATGTAAGGTTGTAGAAACAATCATTAGACTTAAATTAGAGGATCAACTATAAGGTAAGTAGGATTCCAGGTGATAGCATTACAAAAGGTTAATCTTAAATTAAAAACAGTTTTGTTTTTAGATATACTGTATATGAGATTTTACCTAAGGTCTCAAAATCTCAAAATGTATTTCTCAAAATGTTCACCTACTGTATTTAAAATATATTTCCCAATCAAATGCCTTGTCACTATAATAGTATTAAAGTTATGCAATTAATTATTAACTACTGTATGTAACTTGGCGCTCTGGCAGAACAAAAACAGTCTAAACTCAAAGGAGGTCAGTAAATAATAACATTTAATGTATGTAACACATTAAATGCAAACATAAAAATATAAAGTATGCTTAAAAAGAAAAGCAAACAGAAAATCTAAATATTATTAACATTGTAGATTTTAAATCAAGGGATGCAATGTTCAAATTATGCAATGTTCCCATAAGACCACATCTAGAATACAGTATTTTGCACAATTTCAGTCACCATGGTAAAAGAAATTGATGCTGCTCTGGAATTAATACTGAAAATTGTAGGAAGGGCACTGGACAGGAAGATCCTAAGAGATCCACATCTAGTCTCTGGTGAAAAGCTCAGGTGTTTTTTTTTTTCAGGACACTGCTGTTATATTAGTAAGCATTGAATTTCACAGACTGCTTCTGTAAAATACATAGCTTTATACAAATAGCATTTTATTCATGTGTAATGTATAATGGGTACTTTTACAATTTTAAATTGCTTTGGATAAAAGCATCAGTAAAATAAACTAATAATAATAAAAATTACTTGCATTATCATCCAAAAAGCTTTAGAATTATGAGCAGATCAGCTTCATCCAATATTTGTAGTGCCAATGGTAACATGTTTTAACAATTGCACAGCAACAGCAAAGCAGAAGAAAAATAAGAAATTGCTTCACCAATTGAATTAAGGTGGAGACAAAGGTGAATTAAGGAGACAACTTTTATAAATAATACCATTGGATCTTTATAATAATAATAATTATTATTATAATAATTGCTTACACTTACATAGCACTTTTCTGGACACTGCACTCAATGCGCTTTACAGGTAATGGGGACTCCCCTCCACCACCACCACTGTGCAGCCCCACATGAAGCAACGGCAGCCCTAGTGCACCAGAACGCTCACCACACATCAGCTATCAGTGGGGAAGAGAGCAGTTCAATGAAGCCAATTCATAGATGGGGATTATTAGGAGGCCATGATTGGTAAGGGCCAATGGGAAATTTGGACAGGATGTTGGGGTCACATCTCTACTCTTTTCGAGAAATGCCCTGGGATATTTTAATGACCACAAAGAGTCAGGAACTTGGTTTTATATCTCATCCAAAGGACAGTGCTTGTTTACAGTATAGCGTCTCCGTCACTATACTAGGGCATTAGGACCCACATGGACTGCAGGGTGAGCGTCGTCTGCTGGCCCCACTAATACCTCTTCCAGCAGCAACATTAGTTTTTTTCCCAGGAGGTCTCTCATCCAGGTACAGACCAGGTTCACACCTGCTTAGCTTCAGTGGGCTGCCAGTTCTGAGTTTCAGAGTGATATAGTTGCTGGCATAAAGTGCATTGCACATAAAGTGCAATGCCTTACAGGAGTACCATCCGTAGCCCCTTCTAATGGTGTCCCATATTATACAAATGTGTAACAGAAGCTATCAACACAATGGAATTTAACTGGCTTATTTAAAATAAATCAATGCCACATATCTGTTGTTTTTTTTACTATAAGGTTGTCATACTTCCACTTTTGAATTACCACATTGAACCATTAACGGTATAAACTGTTGAACTCTAATATTGCAAACCTCAGCCTCCTACATACTCTGCAAGACCTTTATACTGTACTATAGTAAATGTTTTCAATCTTTAATAAAGTAGCACTGCACCAGAAAAGAACTTGATTGTGAGCCTTGTTAGGATAACTTATGTTGTTGGAGAATCCAATGAGAATATTTTTATCCAAGTTTTAAAACATTTTACGAGGGTCATGTGACATGCTGAAGGCACTGCCCCCACAGACCACATCTTTATTAAACATGAATGTGGCTTTTAGTTTTATCCATCCATTTTCTAGCCACTTTAAAAGAGGAGCTGGAGCCTATCCTGGCAAGCAACAGGCGCCAAATAGGATACACCCTACTGTAGATGGGACACAAATTCACTTCAGGAAAAAATATCCCAGAAGCCAATTAACCTGCCGGTATGTATTTGAACTGTGAGAGGAAACCCATGCAAATAAGAAGAACAAACATACTCCACACAGATAGCACCCCATAAACTGAACCCACCACCCCAGCACTGCAAGGGAGCAATGCTAATCACTGTGCTACCCATATCTTTGAGTTATGTTGTTTATATCTAGGGGATATTGGCAAAGATTGATGCCCCTGTCCTACTGAAAATTAATACATTCCAGGATTCTTTGCTTTATTTACCATTCTGCATTATACATCAGTGAACATTATCATTACCTCAATATTAAGGCCCATTTAATTATTTAATAACAATTATTAGAAATTTCCATGGAATGGCAACATGCACTGTATACAGGTACATCAACATTTGTGAGCTAGCTAATCATGTTTTTTTTTTTTTATTCACCCTTACATTTTGTAGGACCAATGTTCCAGATTGATATTACAGATTTACATATCTCTGCCTCCTTGGCCTCTGGACTGGGAGCAGGTGCTCGTGGCCCGCTTGAGGCTCAGAACCGCAATCTGCTCCCTCCTTTCTCTGCCTCTTGGCTGAGCCCGTGTATGTGGCTTGCCCTCAGCACTCGTCTCCCTCTTCGAGACCACTGAAGGCTTTCTCTCCGCACTTTTCACTGCGCCTGATAACCCCAATCGGATCAAGGCCAGGGCTTTTCTCCTATCTTTTTAGCTTCCTTGCAACACCAATGTTAACAAGTCTGCTGTGGTGTGAATGCTTCAAACCAAACATGTTAGAAAGCTTTTTGATATAGTCGGGTATGTGAAGACAAATAGATCAAAATCCATGTAGTTCAAAATATTGAAAGCTGACAAGTGTAAACTTTATTATTTAAAATAAAATCATGTACTTTTGAGTACAGTGGCTTATGCAGCAGCTAAATTGATCACAATGAATCTTCCAGATCAATTTAGTCAACCTAGGGGCTCAAGTTAAATCACATCTTTAAAGAAAGATGTTCAAAGACAAAATATTACTATGTATTTATCATTTTTAGTTGATCAATATCAGCATATTTAGCATGTTTCAGAAGGAATACAGATTGTTGTTGTTATTTCCATGGAGCTGTGAAAATAGTCACTTTGATAAACTCTTTTAAGCATTTTTAAGAAATATACAGTAAGTGCTAGAGAGATTAGTAAATTTCAGGCAATACACGAACAAAATATATAAATGATCAGCATCAAATTGCATTACTTAAGAAAGCAGTTTGCCATCCATAGATCTGAAAAATCTAACAAAGGCAAAAAGCTTAAGCGACCCTGTAACAAGAAACAAGCTCAAGAAATTGTGTAGAGGTGTGATTCTCAAGCCAAGAGCATTATATTGTGTAAAAAAGAAAAAAAAAACACTAAAGAAGAAAGCACATTACAGTAAAGCGCTGGACTGGAGTACTTTCTGGGTTCCATTTTGCAAAGGTCATGGAGGACAAGTTACTCAGGCATTCTTGTGAGACCCCTCCTGCTGTGCTGGTGTTTAGCTTGGCCTAGACAGCAGTTCATCCACAATTGTGATTCCTGGCAAGTCCACTCATAAAAAACATAGATAAAACTAAAAATGAGGTTTAATTTCTTGTCTAACACTGAAATAGCTTTACACAGTACTAATACTGTCTTCTGTTAAATGAAAAAAAGATTAAACAGTAATGACCTGTCACATTGACATAAGTTTGGATGATCAGAAAAGCGATTTACTGTACCAGTGAGGGAAGAGCAGGCACCTCAGTCGATCCACTCTGTATTCTACTTTAATAAACTGCATTTGCAAGCTGCAATTTCTGCAGCAGATAAAAGGCAAATGTTGAAAATCGTACTTTTGCTCTAAGAAAAATCAAATTCTATGATTTATGCCCCCTGCAGTATTTCAGAATAACTTCACAAAACATGGAGAAAAGTATATTAATAATATTAACATAAGTATGCTAAGTAATGTAATAAGATAAATGACAATTATATGGGTTTAAATGACCAGATTACTAATCTGTTTAAAAATACTACACAAGGGCTGCATGCACCCAAAGCATTGTTCTGTCACAAACCGCACAGAGGCACACAGACATGGTTGCATTCCCACGAGCACCCACTAATTAACTTCACGCACTTTGTCTACTTAAACTTCCACTTTGCAACTTGTCCTTGCGTCCTTGCTCACTATTGAGGTTTCCTCAGCCTGAGCTGCGAATCTAGTTAGCGATTTTCCCTGATTTATCGCTTGTTCTTGTGGCCCCCTGGATTTCTGACCAACTCCTTCTGATCTCCGACCTGCCTCACGATTAGGATAATGTTCACCTAGGAAAGCTGATTTCTCTCTCACTCTCTGCACAGGGTCTTTTCCTACTTGAGCATGTAACATGTTCAACATGTAATCTTTCTGGAATGTAATGGAGTATTATCCAAAGTGTACTTTACGTGAGTCGAATAACGATGATATGATTTTGAGTCAACGGATGAGCTCCAGTGCTGTAAATCACGGAACATGAACGTCTATAGGTAGAATCTACAAGCATGATGATACCAACAACACTTCTGAATAAAAGTCTGGTCATTCAGTAAAATGCCAAATATTCAAGATATTTTTGTGACAGCAATATTGGGATTACTGGGTACCCATACAGTATATACCCATAGTATATATGGGTAATGGTAATGTGCCGCATACTTCTGTGTCCCTCTGTGAGAGTTTGATTTCTATAATATGCACCATTTTCACTTCATAAATTCAGTGCAAATTAAAATTAGGCATGGCATTCTATATTTCAAACATTAATTAGAAGATGAGTAAGACTTATTTTGAGTCGAGTCCAAATCACAAGCCGTATACCGTTATCCTTTATTTATTCCGTAAATCCGTTGTCCTTAAGTGTTTGTCCACTCCAACCAAACTCCACTCTATTCTCCTAAATGCATTCACCTACAGGCTTCCGCACTGGTTCACTGTTTCCAGGGCATATATATTTTGTTTCCTGATGAGACCCACCTGCGTCTTGTTGTCTTTCAGACTGAGTCCTTTCCATCTGCGGGTCAGCTGGTTTCTCTTAGCGGCCATCTTGGTCAGGTCTAAGTCAAGTATAGCGAGGAGATCGTTCCTAAAATACCTGTCCAGGATGACCCTTCCTCTGGTCCTCTTACAGTGTGCAAGGAAATGACAATTGAAAGTTATCACGAACTCTCCATTGTGACGAATCATGAACAAAATGAAAGCACCCCATGACCCCGTACTGGATAAAGTGTTTAGAAAATGGATGGATGTAATAGTACAGTACTAACCAGGTGATGAGGCATTTTACAGCCACATGTACCATTAACCATGAATGTTTTGAGTAACCAACTGTAACAGACCCTTCTTTAAATCTCATATGTATAACTAAGAATATAATTAGGACATATGTTTAATTACCAGCTCAAGTTGGAACAAAAAACATATTTAAGGTCCTCCAGGAACTGAGTTTGAGATCCCTGGAATGTACCTTTACTTATTCTGAAATATTTGATAAAGCAGTAGTTTCTGTTTATTTTCATTAATAACAAGGCATGAACAGCAGAAGATAGGTAATATTAAAAGATTTAGACATCGCATTTCAACTGTAATTCCCATCAGATATCATATAGAGCTGAATTTTAATCATATTTCATCAATTTAATTTTCACAATACTTTTTTTATTATACAGCTTTGGGACAAATTTGTTGTTATACAGCATATAATTTAACTTTTAATCCAATCATAGCTGTTTCCTTCAATTCTTCTAAGGTGAACAAAACTCTACATTTTCGTCTTTGAAATGTACATATTTGCAATACTACTCATGTTTCAAGTCCTGAGGACGTAATGATTGTGCAAAAGGTCAGACAGGGTAACTATCATAGCTGAAGATTGAAGCACAATATGATTTATGATAATAAATATGAATGATAAATTGGAGCTTGGGTGTGGAAAATAACAATTGGTGTCTGACATTTACTTAACAGTGCTCCTTTCATATCTTGCTAATTAATAGATGTCATAGCAGGACTCTCAGTATCCCCCTGAGTCACAATCAATTTGATCTCTTTGTGACATCCTGTCCGTAGCTATATGAATTCTGGTGGCACGTTTCTTCACTCAGTATCTGGTGTTCAATACATTATTGCCCAGATATTTGTTATTGCCCAAGATATTGTTTGCTGGCATATCAGTTTATTCCAATGTTCTGGAGTGATACCCCCTTTAAAACACAATTACTATTTATTTTGGGATGTATCCGTCACAATTGATTCTGATCATTGACCTGTTCTATGACTTCAGTAATGTCAATATTTTTGTTTGATGATTTACGATGATTTTTAGGATCTACAATGCATTTTGAACAGTGCAATATGGTGTAAATGCTGGGTCACATTTTATTTTACCCTAAGATTAGCACTTGAGCTCTGTATTCACTTGGGCAAAGGTAGAGTCCGAGACTGTTGGCGCAAGAAAAGAAGATTTTTATGTGCCTTGTTCCTGTAGTGATGGGTAGTGAAACTTTAACTGTTCAGGGCTCACAGTATGGTAAACAGTTAATGAATGCCACCGTATTTATAAAAGTATTTTTACAAAGTACTTCAGATCCACTTGAGTATAATTAATTAGCTTTGGTCTTGTTTTTTTCTCTGTAACTAAAACAAATGCTTGGAGGGTTCAATGTTTTTATTAATGTCACCCTGAAATTGTAGCTAAGTTAGCAAGTTGAAAACATGTGTGAACTTGACCTCTTTCATTGCTTCTGAGATGCATACAATGAATAGGTTTCTTTGTGCTTTTTGAAGAACATCTTATCTATAGCAAAATCTAAAGGAGAATTCAGCTGTCTTGGCATGTACAATGTATTATTATTATTAGTGCTGTTGTTGATGATGCATGTTTTAGTGGTATTCAAATGTTAAACTTTCCCATCAAAACAACCCATTTAAAAAGCATAAAACCTTAGAGTCTTGAAGTATAGTTGCATGAACAATTCTCTTATCTGACTGTCTTCAGAAAACAGTGTCTTTGAAGACCATTCATATTATGTCTTTGTGAAATTACAAAATAATTAACATTACATTTTATGTAAACTTAAAACTTAAAAACTGATCAGTGTTCAAATTTAAGTAAATGTCATCAGAAATTAAAGAGAAAAAATATGTAATTGCTTAAGTACTCAACCCTGTGACTATATATTTGGTGGAAGACAGCAAATACAGTGGTAAGGCTTTTTGAGTCTCAATCTCTGACTTTGCACATTGAAGTGCAATGTTTGCATATTCATCTTACCAGATCAATTATGGACAGTCTTTCCACAGATTTTCAGTAGAGTTCAAAGCAGGAGTATGAATAAGTATTTACCTCCCCTACTCCAGGAAAAAAAATGTTGTAAGCACTTCTGACATTACAGTCATTACAGTTGCAAATATTTTAGATAAATGTTCACCAATGTTGTAAACTGGGATGGAGTAATTTTTACCCAAAATTGCTAAAGCTCTGACAAACTGGTTGAGGATTGATTTAAGCATATTCCCTTTTCTTACTCAATTCCATAGAAGCCCCCTTTGCAGAGTGACTTGGATATTGTTGAGGTTTGGGCATTAACCTGATTCATCCTCATCTACTGTAGCTGCTTTGTA